CACTGCTGCGACTACCCCGATTCCGGTATGAAGAGTTGCGCGCCATCGCGGGGATCGAGAACGATGAATTTGATGGGGATGAGTGATGGTGAGGTGAGAGAATACTAAGCTGTGTGGGTTGAGATGAAAGAGGAAGTCGCGCATGGCAGCTTACGCGACGCGTGCCTGCCGGGGGATTCTGAATCAAAGAAGAGAATCTTGTGCATTGATGCAATCTACAGAGAGGAAATGTTCCACCTACAAACGCCGTTGATGCTACATTATATACATGAAATAGTACAGCTTACAGTCTGTTATACAGTCATTTCGTCGTTAGTCATACTTTTTCATGCGGCAGCAACGGTGAGACCGGTGCCTTCCGCGTTAATGGCGACCTTGGCCGTGTCTCCGCTGCGAATTTCTCCACGGATTATCCTATCCGCAAGGCTATTGCCGATCTCACGTGCAATGAGCCTGTTTAGCGGTCGAGCACCGAACTTCGGGTCGTACCCTCTATCACATAGCCACTGCTTGGCTTCGTCGGGACACTGCAGTACGATTCTGCGATCGTCCAGTCGCTGCTGCAATTCCTTGAGACGGATGTCTACGATGTCTCTGAGTGCTTCGCGTGACAGACGGCGGAAGATGATGAATTCGTCGAGACGATTGAGGAACTCCGGCGGATATGTGGCGGACACTACATCCATCACAGCGCTGCGTACTGCGGGTGAGATTTCACTAGATTCCTTTCCAGCCAAGTCCAGCACATCGTCACCAACGATGATATCAGCGCCGAGGTTCGAGGTCATCACTATGATGGTGTTGCGGAAGTCGACCTTGTGTCCTTGGGCGTCTGTGAGGAAGCCTTCGTCAAGTACCTGCAGAAGGAGCGTAGAGATATCCTTGTGAGCCTTCTCCCATTCATCGAACAAGAGAACCGCGTAGGGCTTTCGTCGGACAGCTTCGGTAAGCTGACCAGCGTCCTCGTACCCAACATAGCCTGCAGGTGAACCAATGAGGCGGGAAACCGTGTGCTTCTCACTGAACTCGCTCATGTCGAATCGAATGACAGCCTGGGGAGTGCTGAACAGATACTCCGCCAGCCTCTTGCAGACTTCGGTCTTTCCTACACCAGTCGGTCCCAACATCATGAAGGAAGCGATGGGCCTGTTCTCGCCGGACAAGCCAGCTCTCTGCAGACGAATGGCGTTTGCAACGGACTTCAATGCTTCATCTTGGCCCTTGACGTATTGCCGTAGGGTGTCTTCCATGTGTATAAGCTTCTCACTCTCGCCCGAGTTGAGTTTGGAGAGCGGGATGCCGGTGGTGCGTGAAACCACGGATGCGATGTCGTCAGCAGTGACAGAGTCGTGTAGCAAGGAGCCCTGTCGGTTGGCGCCTGCGGTGACCTCCTCGTCTCTTGGGAGCTTCTGCTCCAGCTCGGGGATCCTGCTGTACTGCAGCTCACCGGCTTTGGCAAAGTTCCCCTCTCGGCGAGCTTGTTCGAGCTCGAGCTTTGCCCTTTCAAGGTTCTCCTGCGCGTTCTTAATTTCGTCAAGCTCAGCTCGCTCCTTCTCCCATTTCTCGGTCAAGCCCTTGACTTCTTCTTGCTTTTGTTTCAAAGATTCCTCGAGGCGTTCACGTCGCTCTTTGCTGGCAATGTCTGTCTCCTTCCGCAGCGATTCCAGCTCGATTTGTATGGTCATGATTTGACGGTCTAGTTCTTGAATGGCATCGGGTTTGCTCTCTTGCTGGAGGCGCAGGGCACTCGCGGCTTCGTCTACCAAATCGATGGCCTTGTCGGGAAGGAAGCGGTCGGTGATGTATCGATTGCTGTACGCAGCGGCGGCGACTAGGGCGTTGTCGGTAATGCGGACACCATGGTGGACCTCGTATCGCTCCTTGATACCACGCAGTATCGAAATGGTGTCTTGTACGGTCGGCTCGCCAACTAGGATTGGCTGGAATCGTCTGGCAAGCGCCGCATCCTTCTCGATTTGTCGGTACTCGTTGAGTGTTGTCGCACCGCAGAGCTGTAGCTCTCCGCGGCTAAGAGCGGGCTTAAGCAGGTTGCTGGCATCGATGCTGCCCTCTGCCTTTCCCAGGCCTAACAACGTGTGTAGCTCATCGACGAATAGTATGACACCCTTCTTCGCCTCTTCGACCTCCTTCAAGACGCTCTTGAGGCGCTCTTCGAAATCTCCGCGGAACTTTGCGCCGGCGATAAGTGATCCGAGGTCAAGAGATATGACGCGCTTGTCTTTGATCGACTCGGGCACGTCACCTTTGACGATTCGCTGGGCTAGGCCTTCAAGGATGGCAGTCTTTCCTGTTCCCGCAGAGCCGATCAGGACGGGGTTGTTCTTCGTCCGTCTCGACAGAATCTGTATAGTACGCTGAATTTCGCCGTCTCGTCCGATGACTGGATCCAGCTTGCCATCACGCGCTCGTTCGGTAAGATCCACACCATATTGTTCCAACGCAGGCTTTTCCGGCTCGCCACCCAGGTTCATGCGATGTGTTCCACCTGGAGGGTGTGGTCGGCCTCCGTTGGTGGCATAGCTTCGTGACGATATGAGTGGTCTTAGAAGTTTCTGCTGCTGAGGGAATCGTACCGCGGAAGCGTTGAGACATGACGGCGATGTGCGGATGGGAAGTGATCGTGAGGTCGAGGGGGAGGCGATGCGCCTCGCGGCTATGCGTGCTCTACTGGTCAGCATGACGATGTCGGAGTCAAAAAGCAAGCAAAAGTCAATTTGGAGAAGATGGAGATGGTATCATTATATTCGTGATGGATGGCGGGAGCACAGGCTTCGGCGAAGATGCGCGGTGGTTCGATAGATTTCTACGCGTCTATGAGTAAACACTCCAGGCTTCCAGCATCGACAACCGATACGGGTGGAAGCCGAGTGCGCAAACGAGAAGATGTTCGTGTGGGTATTATATGCAAGATCTAGATGCACAAAGATTGGCACGAGTATGACTTGGTTGACTCTTCGTGTTCGTGACTGTCGCGGGCAGGGAGGGGCACGTGCTAGCGCCAAGGCTAGCGCGTTTTTCTCAGTGCAATTTCCTCCAGCCTCCATCAAAAACTGCAGCCGTCCCTCTTTCTCTCAACACAACACCTTCGATTCTCCCATACCATACTCGCTACCACATCTGCAACTATGGGTTTCACCGATCTCGTTTCCGAAGCAGGCCTGACTCTCCTGAACAACTATGTCAAGACCCGCAGCTACATTGTTGGGTAAGTTCCTACCCCGCCATACAACTCCCTCCGCTTTGTACCTTCCCTGCATTGCGTCGCACCCCCCAAGTTTTCATGATGAGAACAATTGGTCCGTGTTAATGAGGCGGCTTAAGACCCCGCTATCTGAATACAAAACCACGCGCTTGTCGCAACTCTGATCTATCTTCCCTCCTTCTACATCGTACCTAGACATCACGAAGGAGTCATTGGCTAACATGCCCCAGCTACTCCCCATCGCAGGCCGATGTAAAGGTCTACCAGCAAATCAAGCAGATCCCCGCGCCTGAGAAGTACCCGTACGCATGGCGCTGGTACAACCACATGCTCACCTTCGAGGGCGAGTTCGACTCCCTTCCTGGTGACCCTACCAAGGACTTCACCGCCTACGGCCCCGAGTCCTCCGAGCTCACCCTCAACCCCGCCAAGGCACCTGAGAAGGAGGCTGAGGACGACGACGATGAGGTCGACCTGTTCGGCAGCGATGACGAGGAGGAGGACGCCGAGGCTGCCAGGATCAAGGAGGAGCGTCTGGCCGAGTACAACAAAAAGAAGGCCGGCAAGGTCAAGCCTGCTGCCAAGTCTATCGTCACTATGGACGTTAAGCCATGGGGTATGTGTCTTCCCATATTTGCCAATGGGCTTGCATGCTAACGTTGTTCAGATGACGAGACAAACATGGACGAGCTCAAGGCGAACGTTCTTTCCATCGAGAAGGAGGGTCTCGTCTGGGGTGCCTCCCAGCTTGTTGCTGTCGGTTTCGGTATCAAGAAGCTCCAGATCAACTTGGTCGTCGAGGACGACAAGGTCTCGCTCGACGAGCTCCAGCAACAGATCGAAGAGTTCGAGGACCACGTCCAGTCCACCGACATCGTTGCCATGCAGAAGTTGTAGATGCTTCTTGTTGGCGCGCCCTTTTTATGACCTTTTGATGAAGACTATGCATGATCATGACGGACGGTTTCACGTCTTTATGAGCAGTTGCTAGACGAATACCAAAAATCACGACATGGTAGAGATACCACTCCCACTGCGGGACAACAACACATCTTGCCATATGCACTTGTGACTTGATGTATCACATAGGACAGGCGCGGACGTGGTGACGGTAAGCCTGATGAGCGCGCGTCTCGTATAAGTACTGCCCAAGTAGAAGAGTCACGGTAGGTGGGCTAGCGCAACGACACGTCTTCGTACTTGGGCCGTGACGCGAAGAATGGTGGGCTGCCAAACCTAGACATCAGCGACTGCTACGTCGACTGCCTAACATCGATGTATAAAGTCCGGCTCGGGAGCATGCCCCCTATATACAAAGGACGAGGGAAGGCTTGGCTCGCTGCTTTCTTAGTCATGGTCGACGTGCCTCCGGGCGTTCCACGGCGCCATGATGGCTGACCATCCATCAACACCAACCACACAACGCGCCCCAAACGCCGCGATCAGCACCATCAGTCCATGGGAATCCCAACATAAAGTAGAATAGGATTTATGCGAAACATTGGCAACATTCCTTATGACTCGCAAGACTCGCAAGTTCCGCTCTGGCGAATAACAATGTCTCTTTCGTCGGTGCATTTTTATATCCCCGATGCTCGCGCTCTGGGATCAGCATTGTTGTGGAGTTCGGCGCGGAGGAACGGACGTTCAACATACTATACTGACCGCTAAACATGTGCGAAGAATGGAATATGTATAGCATCGGGTCGCAGTATCCTTTGTTGCATCGGACTCATTGTAGTCATCTTGGACGACAAAGAATCGCTACACACAGAAGATGGCACAGCGAGATGCTAGCCCAGACAGCTTCGCACAGGTCCAGGCCGGAGTTCTAGACAGAGAGAACGAGAAGGACGGTGGTATTGTGTGTACCGGATCTTCTTCAAGCACAGCGGCCACCTCATCCTCACGTACCTCCCCATCCCAGAGGAATCCTCAGACCGACGTCGAAGCCCTCCGCCACGATGCCTCGTCCTTGAACCGCGTTCACACGTCGAAGAGCCAACATTCGCAAACAGTCGGCGACGGCGCCCGTGGTGGTCTCGGTGTCTTCCGCAGCAGGTCTACGCGTTCTCGCCCACTACCAGCGTTCGGCGCAGGGAAACCGTATCCTCCTCCTCTCGGCAACCAAGAGGATTATGTCGTCGAGTTCGATGGGGAAGATGACCCGTTGCATGCGCAGAATTGGGCGTTGGGGAAGAAGTTGTTTACTGCGCTTATGCTAGTAAGTCGAATATCGCATCGAGAGACGCGGTAGTCTTTATATCATGGATTTAGACTGACCTGGTGCTGTATGTCTAGGGGTTTACGACAGTCACAGCGTCATTCGCTAGTTCGATATTCAGTACCGCGACAAGAGCTATCGAGCTACAGTTCAACGTCGGCTACGTTGTCGCTACGCTGGGCACATCATTGTACATCCTAGGCTTTGCGACGGGACCGGTTCTTTGGGCACCGTTCTCAGAGCTCAAGGGAAGGAGACTCCCGCTTGTGGTGGCATCGTTTGGCTTCTCGGTCTTCAACATTGCGTGTGCGACGGCGAAAGACTTGCAGACTATCTTAATCTGTAGGTTCTTCGCGGGGTTCTTCGGCGCGTGTCCGATTACCGTGAGTATCTCCTCAGGCCTTTGAGAATTGGATCAGAGGTACTAATGTTGAGATAGATTGTCGCCGCAGTCTTCGCCGACATGTTCGCCAATAGAACGCGTGGAATAGCAATCTGTCTGTTCAGCGTAATGGTCTTTACAGGTCCCTTTCTCGCTCCTTTCATCGGCGGCTTCATAGTCATGTCGAATTCTTGGCGATGGACTCAATACCTTGTGTAAGCACTTCCCTCCTCCCTCTCCACAAGACAAGAAACACCTATATTAACCAGCCCATGACAGCTCCTTCATGGGTTTCGCCTCCTTCACCCTCATGCTCCTCTTCCTCGACGAATCCTACCCACCCATCATCCTCGTCGCCAAAGCCGCCGAACTGCGCCGCCGCACAAAGAACTGGGGTATCCACGCCAAGCAAGAAGAGATCGAAGTCGATTTTCGCGAACTCATCGAGAAGAACTTTTCGAGGCCGCTTAGGATGCTGGTCACGGAGCGTATTGTACTGCTGCTCAGTATATACATCGCCTTCATCTACGGATTGCTATATCTCTTCCTCACAGCATATCCGATCGTATTCCAGGGCGTCCATGGTATGAACCCGGGTGTTGGTGGTCTGCCGTTCTTCGGAATGATCATTGGGGAGTTGTTCGCTGGCGTGTTTATCTTTGCGAGGCAGCCGGGATACCAGAAGAAGCTCGCTGCTAACAACAATGTTCCCATCCCGGAGTGGCGGTTACCCGAGGTTATCGTGGGTGGTGTCGCTTTCGCGGGAGGCTTGTTCTGGTTCGGATGGACTGGGTATCGCGCCGATATCCATTGGATCGTGCCTACGTGCTCTGGATTGCTCATCGGATTTGGCATCATGAGTATCTTTCTGCAGTCGTTCAACTATATCATCGACGCCTATCTCATGGTAAGAAGAGCCTGCATCCCCGTAATTCGAGATTCTTGCTAACATCTCGCCTAGTTCGCCGCTTCGGCGATCGCAGCGAATACGTTCCTTCGTAGCATATGGGGGGCAGCGTTTCCTCTCTTCGCGAAAGAGATGTTCGAGGGTATGGGCGTTGAATGGGCTTCGACTCTACTTGGATGTTTCGCTGCTGCCATGATACCCGTGCCGGTTTGGTTCTACCTCCAAGGTGCGAAGATTAGGTCGAAGAGTGCGTATGCGCCGACGAGTAAGCCTGCATCGGCACCTTCGGAGGAGTGAAGCAGTGGGGATGGGCAACGGATATATGAGCGCTGCTAGGGCATCTGCACCCGCGTATGCAACTCAGCGATAACGAATTTGTACAATTATTCGTGACCCTGAAGAATGTTGTGTATCAAGAAATGAAGCATGAGCCGATAAAGTTGAGATCCCCCAACCGCCACCACGCTATGCACCACGCCGGCGGCGGACGGTCGCGGGCTCTTCCTGCACGCGCGCCTCTCCCCTGCGCAAGCGCCCTCGCACCCAAGAACACCTTCCAACTCCACTTTCCTACCACCACACATCCCAACGTCCTCTCAACGCATAACCCACCACCATCGTCCATCCATGGAATATCCTACCCCGCATCTTTAAATGGCCCAGCACACGTCGCAGGTTGCGCGCTTACGCCACAGATGTCAACGGGCAGAGATCGGCTATTGGCCGGCATTACCGCCTTGTTTCACGCTGTCGATCCTTTTACCCCTGGGATGGTGGATGGTTATCGGAAAGGCGGATTCGCCTACATGCCTTAAATTAGATGGGAGATGCGATGGAGGGAGGGATCCTGGTAGGGTATGATGACATTGTGTGAGGCTGTGCTGAGGGTCTTGCTTTCCGTTACTTTCACTTTCGCTGTAGGTCTCTTGTTGCTTTCCTGGTGAACTTGCGCGACTCGGCTCTACTCTTTCTTTAACGTCGTTCTGTTTGTTGCGCGCATTTGCGACTTTGCGACTGCGATTTGAACTTCGCGACACCACAACTCGACTCCGCGCATGCCGGCCTGACGCGCTTACACTCCTTCGACACCACCACAACCACCCGGAAAGAGAAGAGCAAGACGTCACCATGGCGTTCAACTGCTCCACCGTCCCCGAGACGACAAACACCGACGCGGGAGTAGCAGGCGCAGGCGTACGTCCCCCCACCCCAATCCTCCTCTCCCCCCCAACTAACTCCAAACCTCACAGACCCTCCTCTCCTTCATTATAACCAACATCCTCTCCATCCTCCTCTCCGCCACCATTATCCTGCTTGGCCTGCGAAAATCCACCTCGGCTCCCATTTCGCGAAAGCTCCTCCAGTCCTTCTCCGATCAACAGATCCTCACGGGTATTGGCATCCAATCCGTCGGCCTCGCAAAGATGAAGACAATGGTGCCATACCATTTCTTTATCATCTGGCTCCTCTCTTTGCTATCGACGGCTACAAACCTCGCCACCTTACTCGCACTCGTGAACGATTTCAAGAGGGACTGGGTGCTGCGGTGGATTAGACAGATACTCATGTTAGTGAACATGTTCCTGGGCATTTTGAGTGGGGTGTTCATTCTGCAGACGGTCATGAAAGATATGGAGCCCAGACTACCCATTGCATGCGTATGGGAGGTGGAAAGCAAAGGCACGAGTGGAAACGCCGCTCTTTCCATTGCAGGCACCATCGCCGTAATCGCAGGCCAAGTCATAACATTCGGCTTCGCAACATGGTACCTCCACAACCGGTCCAACCCCAAATGGCTCAAGACCGTCCAGGTCGTTGGTCTCTTCGCTTGTCTCGCCATGGGCGTCGGCGCTACCGTGCGCGTCGTTCTTGAATCCCAGGCTTTTGGTCACCCGCCTGAGTCTGTTCATCTCGTTGGGCCCAGTGAAGGGAACTGGAGTTTCGGTCAATTGTTACCGTTGCTGTTGTTGGCGCTGCCTGTTATTAGCACCATTGAGATTGCTAGGGGGGAGGAGCTCAAGCCGAGGAGTAGGGTCGATGACGATAGTGTGCCGCTGTTTGCGGGCGGGAATGATATGGAGTTTCAGCCTAATCCGCTGGCGGGGAGTGCGACGAGTTTGTTTAGGAAGTAGATGGAAGGGATTAGAGCACAGCTTTACAGGCGTTCTGGGTGGTGTAAATTTTCCATAGATACCCTGCAACTGATACACACCATTTCAAAACCTTGCTGTTTGTCTACGTGATGCAGTTTTAGTTTGTGCGATTGCAGATGAATTCGAGCTCGTTGTTAGATAGTGAGTCGTACCTGCCATGATGCGCATCATTGACTAGTCGTCAATTGGTTACCACAGAACTCCACAACCAAGATACATTCTCCTCACTAGCGCATCGCATCGTTATATAAGAGCAACATCACTCCCAAACTGTTCATACAGCACACAACACCCCGTCATGACCTTCTTCGCCCCCCAACTCCAAATCGTCTCCGACCTCCACCTCGAGACTCCCATGAACAACCCCCAATATTCACACATCAACCTCAAAGCCACCGGCAGCGCACTACTCCTACTTGGAGACATAGGCCTAGTCCGACACGAAGCCCTTTTCACATTCCTCCGCAATCTCCTCGACCAAAACCGCGGCTGCCGCATATTCTACATCCTCGGCAACCACGAAGCGTACCAAACAACTCTTGAGCATGCCGTCGAACGCATGCGAGACTTTGAAAACACTGCAAAACAAGACTACGGCGGTCGCTTCCGTCTCCTCTCCCGCGACCGCTACGATCTCAATGAAAACGTAACAATACTAGGCTGCACGCTCTAGAGCGACATCCAACCTGAGCAGGCTGCTGAAGTCGGATCTAGGATGACGGATTATAATGAAGAGCGCGGTATACAGGGCTGGACGGTGGAGAAAAGTTGTACAGAGCACACCCGAGACCTGGAGTGGTTGAACGCACAAGTCCATCAAATCCAAGACAAGGAACCGCATCAAAGCATCATTATAGCGACACATCACTGCCCTACTATCGACTCTCGCGCTACGGATCCAAGACATAGCTCTAGTACGATGAACTCTGGTTTCGTGTCTGATTTGTCCTAAGAGACGTGCTGGACGTCACCACCTGTGAAAGTGTGGGCGTTTGGTCATACACATTACAGTTGTGCGTTTCGGGATGAAGGGACGGATATGTTGGTTGTGTCGAATCAGAAGGGTTATGGTGGAATAGCGGGAAGTGGCGGAAAGGGGAGGGGGGTTAAGACGGTTGTCGTTGAGCAGAGGGGGGGTAGGTGGGAGGTTTTGGATGTAGGTCGAGTGTTGAAGCAGAAGGAAGAGAGGATAGATGACGAGGTAGTGGCGACATCGAGCGGAACAGAAGATGAGGGTGTTGTATCAGGCAATTACGTTAAGCTAAAGACAGCCTTAGCGAGAATAGCAGGTGCGAGAATAGCAGCTCTAGGTAGCCTAAGATAATTATTTAATAATAATAGTGTTAGCTTTAAGTATAGCATTAATTACCTGCTAAATATAAATATAAATTGTAAATTAATAATATTAACGTAGTATATAATGTAGAAGTTGTAAACGTTATTGTTACTAAAAAGGCTAGTGTAACTATAATATTGCTAGCTAAGATTACCTCTTTCTAACTATACTTAACCTTAGCTTTTTTCTATTTGCTATAGCAATTATAACTAACCTTCTTAGCTAAATAAGGTAATTATATCTAAATATTTATTAAATACTAATAATTTTAAATGCGTAATAACTATTACTACCTACAAACGTAAGGTTATAATCTTCTAACTACGCATATAGCTTAGTATATTAAGATTATTATATTGCGACGCTATAGTTAAGTTTACAATTATGCAGAATCTAAATATATATATTTATTACCTTATAGTTACTACTATAAACTATATAGCTTAATCTTTCTTTAGGTATAAAGCTATACTTACTATTATAAGCATAGAATTATTCTTCTATAATAAGAATATATTATTTAGATTATAGGTATACTACAAACTTAGCTTTAGTTACTAGCTATTTCTAGCTACTTAGCACTTCTAGGTAGACGTAAAAAATGTGCTTCTATTCTACTACTCTACTACCTACTATTAATCTAGAGTAAGGCTAAGTAATCTATATTACTACTAGCTTTATAAATTTCTTACTATAGTTTTTAACTAGCTTAGAATACTCTTAAAATATTTTGTAAATATCTATACTAATTAGTGCTCTTCTATATAAGCCTAAGCTAGGTATAAATAATAGTATAAGCCTTCTATAAATTCTATAATATATACTATTTCTCTATACTATTAGATTGTGTTGTATAGTAGCGTAGCTATACTATAAACTAAACACTAAAGCGTAAGAATACAATATAAGCTATAAGATTAGAACTATAGTGTCTAGAATATAAAGAGAGAGTAGAAGAGGTCTATAATCTAGAGTAGATTAGTAGAAGAAAGTAGAAGTAGTAGAAAGAGAAAGAAAGAGATAGAGTAGGTAAGAGAAAGATAGAAAGAGAGAGAATAGCTACTTATATTATTGTCTATTCTTAGTTATAACTATATATATCTATATCTATAGCCTATATCTATAGCTCTAAATATATTAGTATAGCTTAGCTTATATAAACTATCTACTATATAAACTATATTAATTCTTATATAGCTTCTAGGCTTAGGCTTAGGCGCTGTGCAATAGTTTAAATATACTACGCTAAACTATTAGCATAATAAAGAAAAGATAAAGAAAAGACCTAGATCTAGCGCTTACTTCTAGCTACTAGAGAGACTATATAGTTCTGCTATCTACTATTTTAAGCTACTATTTAAAATAGCAGGTAGTAGAACTATATAGTTTCTTTAGTAGCTAGAAGTAGGCGCTAGATCTAGAGTTTATATAGTAAAGTTAAGATAGAGATAGTAAATAGTAATATAGCTAGGTAGTAGTAGTACTTTTTTTTAGCTCTAGGCGTATATTAGTTATAATACTATTAGAGAGTATAGCTGTAGCCTTACGCTTATAAGGTATAGTTAGTATCTACCTAGATACTATTATTAGCCTTAGATTCTTACTAGTCTCTATATAGATATAATAATAAAGGTAGAATAATACTTCTAAAGAAGATAAAGATATTAATATAGAGAATACTATTAGAGAGACATAAAAAATAATAAAGGCAAGATAATACCTCTAAAGAAGATAAAGATATTAATATAGAGAACGCTATTAGAAAGGTGTAGAACTACGCCTACGCTTATAAGTTACTATCTAATATAATCTTTATAGAGGTATTATATATTATATATAACTAAGGTAACTAGCGCTAGTCTTAGCCTTACGCTTATAAGGTATAGATAGTAGTAGTACTCTAAACTTCTACTAGCAATTAAGGCGCTTCTTCTTAGCTTTAGGTGTATATTAGTTATAGCTCTTGTTAGCCTTAGACTTAAGCGTAGCCTTACGTAGTATTAGAGTTTTCTTAGAAGTAACTTTAGTATTAGTGCTATTATTAGTCTTAGCTTTACGCTTACGTAGTATTAGAGTCTTCTTAGAGGTAACTAGTGTCTACTATTATTAGTTTTAGACTTAAACTTAGACTTAGACATAGTTATAGTTATAGCTATAGCCTTAGCCTTATAAAGTGTAGATAGTAGTAGTACTCTAAACTTCTACTAGCAATTAAGGCGCTATAGTCTACTTATTAGCTATAGCCTTACACTTACGTAGTGTTAGAGTCTTCTTAGAGGTAACTTTAGTATTAGTGCTATTATTAGCCTTAGACTTAGGCGCAGCTATAGCCTTACGCTTATAGAGTATAGCTAGTTTCTTAGATATAACTAGTGTCTACTATTATTAGCCTTAGACTTAAGCGTAGTGTAGCTAGCTTCTTAGATATAACTTTAGTGTTCTTAACTTTTTTCTTAACTTTCTTCTTAACCTTCTTCTTAACCTTTTTCTTAACCTCTTTCTTAACTTTCTTCTTAATAGTAGACGCAATATTATAGTAGTAAGGTAATATTATAGTAGTAAGATAATATTATAGTAGTAAGATAATATTAGACTAGCTAGTAAAAAGATAGGTTAGAGGCAGCGTGTAGAAGATAAGACAGAAGAGAATTAAACCTAGACTCTTAGTTAGTAATAATAATAAGGTAAAAAAAATAGAATACGCATACCTTAGCTAATATTTATCTTCTTACTAGCCTTTTGCTTTAGAGGTTAATTAATAGTTAATAGTTATTACTAGCTACTATACTATGTAGGTGCTATCTCTTAATAGAAAATAGCCTAGAATATATAGATTATATAGCTAAGGCATACTAGTGTAGTTATAGAGTAATATAGTAGAGTAATAATGTTATAGGTAATATTATAGGTATTAAAGAGAAGGCGCTAGATAGAAGAAACTATATAGCTAGCTATATTTAAAGCTTTTAGTAAAGTAGAGTAGTAAATATCTAATAATAATATATATTCTAAGTTATAAGATAGCTAAAAAGGTTAAATCTTAGAGTATAAATAGGTTAAAAGAGTTAAATTATAGAGTGTAAAAGAATAATAAGAGTTAAATTCTAGGTATATATATAGTAAATACTAAATATTTAGTTAGTAAGAATGTCTAAGAGTTGTATTTTATGTACTATTTTATATAGTAGCGATATTAATAAATAAAGTATAAATATTAGCTTTAGAATAGATATATTAAAACTATATTATAACTATTATAAGCTTCTTAAAATGTCTAATCTAATAGTATATTACTACTATACTAAATTAGTATAAGATCTATATAATAGCTAAGATTAGCTAAAATCTAAAGGCTCTAGCCTTTAAAACCTAAATTCTTATATAAATTTCTATATACGTTGTCTAGAGTTTAAAATATCTATATTAGAGAATAGAAAATTGTGTATTGCGCGAGAATGTTTAAGCTATTAGATATAGCTTTTAACTTAGTAATTTTAGCTATCTAGAGTCTAGGTAGGCGTAGGTTTAAGAGTAAATATTCTATAGATTTTACTATAGTGCTGCTGTTACTATAAGACTAATAGAAGATATAGATAGTAGAGAAAGAGTTTAAGTAGGCGTGTTTATAAATATATAGAATGCTAGATAGAGTTACGTATATCTTTTCTACTAAGGTATTAAGTAGATATAAAGAGGTGCGTAGTAGTCTAAGATAGGTAGTCTAAGTAAGCTAGTTAATAAGAATTTAGTGTTTAGAATCTCTAAGAAATAGAATAAAATTCTAGAGAACTAATTTTAAAGTTAGAGTAATATATAGTAGAAGAAAGAAATAAAGATAGAAATATATTTATATATAATTCTAGAACCTATTACTAGTATTAGAAGAAGAATAGAGATCTAGATATAGAAGAAAAGTGTAAAGCTAGAGATTTAGTAAGCTGTCTATCTATAGTAGTACTACTAGAATACGCGTAGAGACTATAATATCTCTAATAAGCTAAGATTTTAGCTACGCTATATAGTTTAATATTACGCGTGCGCTAGTAAAGGTAGAATAGAGTAGAAGAGATTTAACGCGTTCTATTAGTAGAGGCTAACTAGGCCTATTAACTTTACTTTTAGTAGAGTTATAGCAAGAGTTACGTCTACTATACTAGTTTGTATTTTACTATATAGTAACGCGCTTTTTAAGTGTTAGTAGACGTATTATATAGGTATAGTTATAGTAATGTATTGTAATTTAGAGTTTAGAGTTAAGATTTTTATAGAGTAAAGTTATTATATTATTACTAATTTAGTTACTTATAGTAAGAAAGTATAAATTTAAATATAGTAGC